ACATACTTGGCTGCTGTCTCAAAGTCTCCGACTACAAGGCTGTCTCCTTTCTCTGCATCTGTTGAATAGGATAGACACTTCAGTCTCAGCTAACTCCACTGGCTGACTAGATAATCTGCCTTAGGTCCTTAGGCCAAGATGAGACCCTCATTGCAGGTCTAATCTCTTCTTCAGGAAGAGAGCATGTGGCTACCCATCCCAAGTGGCTCTTCTTTTTTATTTTTTGAAATTAAAATATAGTCACATCATTTCCCCCTTTCCTTTCCTCCCTTCAGTGCTTCCCATATAACATGTAGTTTGGTCTCTTTCATAGTCATGGTCTCTATTCATTTAACTCTTGTTCAATTTTTCTCTCTTTAGATAGATAGATAGATAGATAGATAGATAGATAGATAGATAGATAGATAGATAGACAGATAGACAGACAGACAGACAGATAGATAGACAGACAGACAGACAGACAGATAGATCGACAGATAGATAGATGATAGATACACATACAGATAGATAGGGATGAGTGTGTGTTTCTAAATTTATTTATACAACCTCCTCAGTTCATAAATGTTATTTGTAAGATTATTACTTCAGCCCTGGCCATTTGATATTTGAGAACCAATTTGGGGCCTCTTTCCTAAGGAAGACTGTCTCTCCTGCTTTTAGCATTCCTTAGTTTGCCTATAGTTCTTTGGCTTGTTCAGGTCTTGCTCCTCCATGATGAGGAGACTTCATGGATGTAGCTACTTGGCTATTTTTCAGAACTACAGTTTCGCAGCCAACATCCTGTTCCTCTGGCTTCTACCATCTTTCTGCTCTCTTTTCCGCTGTAATCCCTGAGCCTCGGGGGCAGGAGTTGCTCTGCAGCTATCCCTCCCTTGTGTTTATGAAGCTATGCTCAGTGGGGTAAACACACTTGATAATGTACTCTAAGGAATGTGATTAATGATGTTATGACAAATCACATGAGGATAGGAATGAAGACATGAAGTGTTAGCTGCCTCTGTGTGGGGAAGAGCACGTTAATGGAAACAGAAAACAAAAAGCGCTGACCTATTAGGTTCCTCCAAGAGAAGAAGGGGGAATAAACTCCTATACTTCAGCTTCTCTTCCATTATCCTGAGATGCTTCTGGACTGGCTTTTAAAACCCATGCATCACTTGCATGATTATCAGCCATATTAATTTCTTCAGTGACACCTCTGCACAGTCCTCTCTAATGGACATATGGACTAATGACTCCTGGGTGAATTGAGAGATGAAAGCCGGTATCTTTACACCATTCTTCTCTGAAGCTTAAAACGTATACCAAAGGGGTTGTTGTTGGTTTAAGAAACATGAAAATGTAAATTCTGGGGACTTCATACTCATTCAGTCAAACTTTAAAATGTTTCCTATGTTTTGATAATTCCAATCGGCAACCGCTTGCCAGTCAAGCATGGCAATTCTCTTCTGCCTAGAGCACACGGTATGTGGCCCAGCAATCTGAGGGGTTTCTTCGTCGGTACACGGAGAGTCAACTTTATTTTGCCTTAATAACAAAAGGTGAAAGACTAAGACTGTGTATGGAGAGGGAGTGGGGAATGTGTGTGTAGGTGTGTGTGTATCTATATTTGCATGTGTTTGTGCATGAGTGCATGTATATTGTTTACATATGTGTATGGGCACATGTGTGCAACTCCATGCATGTGCATTTGTGTACATGTCTGCATATGTATTTGTTTGAGTACATGAATGTGTGCATATCTGTGTTTGTTTGCATGTGTGTATGTGTGTGTGTGTGTGTGTGTGTGTGTATGTGTGTGTGTGTGTGTATGTATGTGTACTTCTCCACTTTCACTCTTTTAAGTTGTCTGGGAAAATGTAGGCAAGTGTTTGACAAACAGTGCCTGGAATACCAACAAGTCACTACGAGTATCTCTTCATTAAAATCATATGCTAAGAAAACAGATTTTCAAGAGTAACTGTCTTGCACAACTCTCTTTAAAAATTGTTCTCTTTGCCTTTTTGGAGCATACTATTTAAAATTACAATAAAAACTTCTTCTTAGAGAAAAGAGAAAATAAGTAGCAAATTTCCTATAACTCACAGTGAGACTGGAGCCCCTTATCTGCTTACTTCCCTCATTCTGCTGCCTCAATAGCTCTGTGCTACAGAAAAGAAAAAAAAAATAAAAACGAAAAGAAAAACTTTAAAGGCCTTTCAGGCATATTCTTTACTCAGATAAAAATGTAAAAGAAGTATAGCCCCTTCACTGTTTAGTGTAGGATGTGTTTGGTATTCCTCAAATGCTCAGCAACATTGAGATCCAGCTCTTTGCAGCCTTATAAACACTTCTTGAAGTGACTCTTAATTACTTTTAAAGAGCTACTGTTTTGCAGGGCCTGATGAGCTGGGTCAGAGATTAAGAGCACTTCTTGCTTTTACAGAAGATGGGGTTCAGCTTCAAGAGCACAACCATCCTTCCCCCTAGTTTGGGGGAACCTGGCATTGCCTCTGATCTCCCCAGGCACGAAACACACATATAATACACAAACTGTGGGAATATGATTTTACACATAAAATAAAATTTGACAATTCTTCTTTTAAAAAGGGAGACAAGAAAGGACGTACAATAGCTTTGTGTCAACCCTGAGTCAGAGAATGAAGAGAAAGAGCAGGGTTTTAAATACAAGCTCAGCCACGCAGTGGTGGTGCACGCCTTTAATCCCAGCACCCAGAGGCAGAGACATATTGATCCCTGTGAGTTCAAGGCCAGGCTGGTCTGCAAGAGCTATCCCAGGGCATACTCTAAAGCTGCAGAGAAACCCTGGCTAGAAAAAAAAAATACAAGTTCAAACGGGAGGGTGGAGTTGTACCCACCTCAAACCACTGTACTACTGGAATCCTTTACTTCAAACTGAACATATTCATAAGCAAGTTAGTCAGCTGACCATATTCCAAACATAATCACGCTGCCTTATCCAGAATCAGCTATTTCTGTAAACTGTCTAAAGTATTTGGAGGTGTAATGTTTATAGTATCTTTCTTTGCCTCAGCATTCCTATAGCCATGCCTTTACTCAGAATGTGACGTCTCCTTTTTCTCCAATATTCTTCCTGAGCACCAAATAACAGATTCTTTGGAAATCTACTCAGATTTACCCGGTATAGAGACACAACTTGAAGGTTATCTTTTTTTAGTTGCTAAAAGTACATTTTTAAATGTTTGCTGCTGTTGGTTTTCCCCAAATATGTAATAAATAATTTATTATATATATTAAATTTATTTTATGCATATTGATGTGATGGTGCCAGATCTCCTGAACTAGAGTTACAGACAAATTCTAGCTGCCATGTGGGTACTGGGAATTGAACCCAGGTCCTCTGGGAGAGCAGCGAGTGTTTTCACCACTGAACCATCTCTCCAGTCCATCACAAATATACTTTTTAAAAACAGGATAAGGCTAAATTACCATATTCTACCTTCATTATTTTGAAAAGAAAGCACGTGGCTAAAAACATATGCTGTGGTGGTGAGCACCATTCATCCCAGCACTTGGGAGGCAGAGGCAGGCAGAGCTCTGAGTTTGGGGTCAGCTCTGGGTGTACAGCGTGAGTTCCAGAACAATGAGGGCTACACAGAGAAATCATTAAAAATATTTGAAAAATATTATATCTTGAAAAACCATTAAAATATTTCTTCTAACTTAAAGTAAAAAAGAAAAAAAAAACATCCTTTTTTATGTTTCGCACACTTCTCTCATTTCACTAAAGACTGATGCATTCATGGCTTGACCTCTGACCCCCACCACTGGCATGGTAAGCCTGAGTGGTGAGGTCATGCCCTGGAGTCAGTGTGATAGACTGTGTAGACTCTGCAGTCTTGGTCAACCTTCTTCTCTTGCTAATCTTCACATGTCTCTATCCGCAACAATGGATATGTTCAGCACTTAAGAGGTAGCACAGATGAGTTTAAAAACTAACTTCCTTAGCATAGGACTCAGGATAAAGAGAGTTGTCAAAATGGGAAGGTATAATTACCATAACTATTTTTAACCTCACAGTGTGCTTTCTGATTTAACTTTTTATGAATGCTGATGAATTAAAAACTAATCTTTCAGTCGTCTAGTTTATCTTGTTGGAATCATTAATTCCTAAAATGAGAAATTGATGGAACTTTCAAATATTAATGATAAGAGTCAAATTTCTTTTTCAGGAGTGGTTTTCAACCTGTGGGTCATGACATCTTCAGGAGTTGCTTATCAGATATTATGCTCATCAGATACTTACAGTGCAATTTTGCTACGTAACAGTAGCAAAGTTACAGTAGTGATGTAGCACCAAAATAATTGTATGGTTGGGGGTCAGCACAACATGAGGAACTGCATTAAAGGGGCACAGTGTTAGGAAGGTTGAGAACCTTTCAGGAATGGTGTTTTGCTTCATTTTATTATTTGTACTATAAAAATTGTGGCTATGTGGCTATCTTAAGAAAACACATTTAAATTTTGATTTAATGTGGCTTAACAATGAAGATTTTACTGTCTGACCCAGGTTGAACAAAATCCCCTAAAAAGAAGCCCCTATCAGTAAAAATTATGAACCACCGATTTCCACATTTTCTCACAATTAAAAGGGAAGGCAAGGCTTACATCATGAGCCCAGGTATGTTGACCTATGCAGATCCAAAAAGAAGGCATTCTTTTAGCATAGAAAAATAATAATTTCTCTTTTATAATAATTTCTCTATTAAAAAACAAAGCAGAACAAAAAGTCAAAATTAAAAAAAAGTCTTCTGTTCTTCAAAACACTCATCCTCCACGGCAGATGCTGGAACAGAGCTGATGAGCAGCGACGTCAGCTTGCTTTTGGAAAAGTAAATACTGCTGAGGAGGCCCAGCAAATTGTCAAAATCAATATTAAACAGTAAACTTAGTTCTTAGGCCTTATTTAATCTAAAGTGTATTTTTACTTCTGAAGAGTTGTGCTTGCTATATAATTTCGTACATCTTTACTTAGTAGAAACATGAAGGAAATAGCAGCTCTCATTAAAGACAATGTAGATGAGATTTTCATGTAAACCTGCGTAACAACATCTGCCTAGGTACAAGTCACAGAAGGCTTAAAGCAATGAAGATCTAAACGCCAAGAGACATTGGGTAGAGAGAAGCTCACATGTGGTTTATCTCGTCTGAGAATGTGGAGCCTAGAATTAAAAAAAAAAAAAAAACATAAAATGATTTCATTTTTTTTACCTGTAAGAGTAGAGTGTACAGCACATATTTATAAAGTGTATCATAATGTGTTTCACTGAAGTAATATAGTCAGGTATGTCCTGACCCTAAGGAAATGAACTAGGTAAAGGAAACCTAAAAACTACACACATATGCACATTGCACATACGCGTGCATGCACGCGTGCGCACACACACACACACACACACACAAATAGTTGCTCTAATACTTATTATTTAAAATGTTGCTTTGTCAGTTTATGTATGTGGTAGACACTGGCAGTAACTAATACAGTTCTGGGCAGAGAGTAAATGGGCGTTGTAAGCCACTAATTAAAACTCACTCAATAAATGTGGTTTTCTTAATATGCTTTGTTAAATTAACCAATATGCACAAGAGTCTATGCACATCTTTTTTTCAGGCCATTGTTCATGCCTTAAGGTGCATTTCCTAACGTCTTCTCCTTGGCGCAGGGTGAGTCAGAATGCAGTTCTCACACACACAGGAGCTGAAGCATCTCTTCAGCAGGATTCCACACACTGGGAGTTTAGGAATGAACAAATAAACAAAACAGATTTTGTGTGCACAATCTTAAAATCGTATTAAGATCTGCTAATAAGGCAACCACAAAATTATTCCATAATCACAACTATGCATTTCCAAAGAAATATTTCATTTACAGTATTGAAGTCTCTCAAATAATTATGCTTTCTATAACCAGTGATCAAAGCCTGTACATTAAGAAGCTACTGCTATTCTAGCTTAAGTAAAACAGTGATCTTGGACTGAAAAATAAAGGCAGTAGCATCATGACTCAGAATGTGCAAAACTATTGATATTATCGTTTATATTAATATGATCTCTGGGCGCCCTTTGAGAGGAAAGGGGAGGTAACTAACAGGACGCCACTGGAATCTTCTTCTTTGTCAATGCCACCATCCTTCCCTTCTGTATTACCTTCGGTGCTAGATGACATTGCCGACTCGTCCCCTCCTCCAGTGTCTTACATCACTTCCCAGGAGATGAAGTGTATTCTTCACTGGTTTGCCAGTTGGTCAGGTCCGCAGCGGGACCTACAAGACCTGGTAGCTAAGGCAGTGCCTGGAAAGCTGCAGCCGCTGCTGGATGGTCTGGAGCAGCTTAGTGTGTCTGGGGCAAACCGACCACCGTGTATCTTTGAGTGTCAGCTACGGCTTTGGGATCAGTGGTTTCCAGGTTGGGCTGAACAGGAGCGCAATAAATTTGTCAGACAGCTGGAGGTCAGTGAGCCAGATTTTGTGGCAAAGTTTTACCAAGCAGTAGTTGCCACTGCTGGTAAAGACTGATAATCAATCAGATCAAGAAGATAACTGTGTCAGATCAAGCCAAAGACCACGACTATCATGACAATCGAGTGCAAGTATGTCACTTAGAGATTTGCCTGAACCGCTGGGGTGGTGGTGTGCCCTTTTTCCCAGTACCAGGAGGCAGAGGCGACCTAGCTTACATATCAAGTTCCAGGACAGCCAGTGCTACAAAGACAGACCCTGCCACTAGAGGAAAAAAATTGTGTGAACTTCATGATGAGTGCCAGCACTGTTTTTAGCTTAGCGATGCCACCTGGATGCTGTAAATGTCATCCATTAGACAAATCTGGTTATGGCACGTACCTGCTTTAGCAGGAGATGTCTAAATTCAAGAATTTAATGACCTTTGTTACAATAATTAAAAGAACCTGTATCTTATAACTCAGGCCTACTGTTGGCCCAGATAGCTGGTTTTACCACATTCACCCAATTCTAGCATAAAATGTGATGTCCCAACTGTTGGATTTTCCAGTGATGATTTAATAAATTAAGGAAAATCAAAAAAAATATTCAAGACTTGCTAACCTCACATCAGTGGTTAAGAACTGTGGTTAGTGCTGTAGAAGTAGGATATTGGGGGTCTTCTCTCTACCTATTACTGAAAGAAGTCGACATTGCACTCCTTCTGTGCAGATGAAAAAACCGAAGTTCAGCGATTGTTGATGATGTGTTTCCGACCTACAGATCATAATTGACATATATGAGATTGTATGTGGCCAGGGCATCTGTCTTTGGAGTCCATCGTCTTAAGTAACACTCTTAACAGCCTCCTGTGAAATTGACAAGTCTGTGAAAAACCAAGTTATCTTTCATATCAGGTGTTCTTTAATCTTCTGTGTATTTATTTCTACTTTTTTCATAACCTCAGTAATCATCCGTTTATTGAGCTACAGCTCCCAGTGTGTGTGTGGGAGGTTGCAGATAACATACCAGCAGTTCTGGACCCTCATTCAAGCTTGCCAGCTGTTCAGGCACAATATTTATTTGTCCCATAAATCCTAAGCTATTCTTTTTTTATTTATATAAAAAAAATCTGACAATTGACAGTTGGTTTGCTTTTCCACTCCGAACACTATAACATGAGGTGTTCTTAACTTCAGGCTCACAGTCTCCAGATGAACAGAAGCCAAACCTCACAGTATGTAAGTATCTCATAAAAAGACCTCTTCGCCACACAAACACCCCACCAAGACAAAAATCAAGTCACTCTTCCAATTTTGTAAATGACTCTCTCTAACTTCGTCAACACAGGTAGTGGTTAATGAAGTTTAAATCATTCTGATTTAGTTGTACATGTGCCAGCGTCGTGTTTGACAGGTTTCAGGCGTACATACCTCCTTCCAGAAGACCTCCATGATGGCCTTCAGTTACTATCAAATGCCATATGGCAGAAAAGCCACCTGTCTTTTGGAAGCCTGGCCCATTTACCTTCTTTGACCTGCTGTTCCTTTACTAAAGAAAGCAATGTATAGAAAACCCCAAGATCATCCTTAATGCACTAACCAGGCATTACCTTGTAATGTTGAGATTACACATCACAACACGCTAACCAACCATGCCCCCAGCATGCCCCCAATTTAGTCTTTGAAGCATGCTGCTTTGAGTTTCTAGCAAAAACATTTTGAGGCACCTACATTCCCCCTCGGAAACTATTCCACCTTATCCCTATGTATGGAATAATTATCTCTCCCTCATTAGTTCATCAACTTTTCTTTTCTTTTCCATTAAGTGCTCTGACTTTTTGTTTGTTTGTTTTGACAATACCTTCTGGCAGATAAAATGGTAAATGCAAAATAATTCAAAGTTAAGAGGAGGTCATCCGAACAACAACAAAAATAAACCTTTTGTTTTAGGATATAATTTTAAAGGTATTACATGTTGTTATTACAATTCTAAGGAAGTACTCAAATATACCGAGTCTAATTCTCCTTAGAGCCTCTTGTTAGACTGGGGAAAGCAAGAACTATGGGAGAATAAGACAGGAGTTAGCCCTTCCTAGCAGTTACAATGATTGATGCATGGTGCTTTTCCTGCCTATTAACCCTCAAATTATTCTGCCACCACTAGACATAGCTAAGTTTCAACTTCTAGTATGCTTTTCTTTTTCAATTTGTGTGTGTGTGTGTCACATGTACTGATGGCACATGTTAGAGGTAGGGGAATTTCTGACATACGTGTGTGTGTGTGTGTGTGTGTGTGTGTGTGTGTAGGTTCAGATCAATGTCTAGATTCACCCTGGCTTGTTTTCTATCTTATTCATTGAGATATGACTTTTGAGCTGCCTGATATGAGTAGGCTTAGCAGTCATTTTGCTCTGAGCCCCATTTTAACCTTCAAAGGCTAGGAATGCAGGTAGGCCACCACACTGATCTAATTTTACATGTGGTCTGGGGTTCCAAACTTCTGTCCTCAGGCACATTAGCCATTGAGGTATCTCTCCAGCCCAACCTTTAGTATTTTTAATGTTTACAATATTAGGAAGCTATTTGAGGCAAGAAAGGGGGATCACATTGTGCCTGAGCCCTGCTTGCATTTCACTTGGCATTAACACTCAGTGTTTAAAGAGGCAACGATTGTGGTCATGCCCTGTTTTTAGTAACTGTTGAGCAAGTGTGGATCTTTGAAGTTAGATACTGCCTTATAATAGAGATTTTAGCAAATAGAACCCCCCAAAAAACATACTGCTTTCCTCTATTTTTGTAACTCTGTTCATGCAATAGTGCCTCAGGGCTTCATCATTTCTGGGCATGTTTTTCCTGAACTGCAAATTGCAGACTCAATTGACTGGCATATTTAAATCTAATGGATATTTACAGTAACCTTCATGTCTAGTGTGCTATGGAAGCTTACTCCTAGAAAACCAATATTTTATACAGGCTTCTGGGTTTTCTTTTCTTTTCTTTTTTTGATTTGAGAATATTTAAGAGGGGATTTATTTGCTGTGTTTATAGTTTTAAGATCATACAAACACATATGAGTCAGCTAATCAGACCTAGATATATATTAATGTATGTACCACAGAAATAAAGCATTCCAAAAAACCTCTTGATAACATTAATAATGCTATCATTATCATCCTTGATAACATTTAAAAACTGGAAGGGAGGTAGAACTGTGGTTAGTATGTAAAATGAAGAAAAACTTTAAATGAAAAATTTTTAAAAAATATGTTTTCTGAATATACTTGAAATGAAAACGGGTAGCTCTCAGTCACTCTTCCTTTTAGAAACCTATTACATGACCATTCTTCATCAGTCTTTAAGACAGGTTTGTCTCATCCCTTCTAAGGGAAAGATTCTAAAATATGGCACTAAAATTTAGCACTGAAAATTCAAAAGGTAATAATAGCCCTGAGGGTCTTCACCTGTTAACATCTAACAGTAACCAGATCTCATTTCTAAGACACAAAGATGCAGTAGAATGGATTAAAAGCAGAGCAAGCACAGCATACGATAAGGAAGAACAATGGTGGAGGAGGGGCTCTGGAAGTGTCATGCAAGCTTAGCTGAAGGAATGATTGAAAAATTAGCACAGAATACAATAGCTTCCTTCGCCTAATAGAGAACTCCACTGAAAGACAATTGACTTGGATTTGAACAAAGGCACAGATCTGGAATGGAGGGGTGGCATGGTCAAGGGGGAACATCCTGTCCCGATAGGAAAACTTCTTAACAAATGACAAGCTTTGAATGCAATCAGTTGCCTTTTGTTGGAGACACGCTCCTTTCCCGAGTACAGTCTGTTCTCTAGAGGACAAACTTGCATGTTCTTACACTATGTAGCACTTGCATTAATTTTTTAAGGCTTCGATAATAAAATACCACAGACTGGTGGCATTATCAATGGAAATATCTTTCTTTAGGTTCTGGCAATCATAAGTTGAAAATTAAAGTATGGGCAGGTTGTGTTTCTCTTGAAGCCTGGCTGGGTCTTCCATGACCAACTTCACTTTGTGTCCTCATAAACTTTACAGTGTAGGAGTTATGTCCTGCTTATTATCTTATATGCGTTACAGACAGACTGAATTAAGACTCGCAGTCTCCGTTTAACATACAGAGCTCTTTAATGCACCTGTCTCCAAATAAAGTCACATTCTGTAGTCCTGATGATTAACGTTTCAGGCTATATCGGGTATGTTCAGGTTGGTATGGCCATAGATAGGATTGCTAACTTTCAAAAGGGAAGAATTGAGGTGAATGGATGGGGAGCACTTCAGTCTATCACAACTTCCAAGTTCAGCACTACGTTTCCACAATTCTCTAGTAAAATTCTCGGCCCATACCGAAGCCTGCTGCCTGGTAGGAGAAACCCTAAACTGAAGAACTGGGCAAAGCTGTCAGCACCTGCTCGAAATGAATTCCTACCACCAGAGGGGTCTCTTGTCTTCCGGCTGCAAATTTGAGTTAGCCATAAACCATGCTCTTTGGCTTCTCGTAAATGTGGAGGAGATTAAATTCATTATAATATTAAGTAGATCAGGTGGAATTAGCTCTCAGCAGAGTGCAGCTGCTGCTTCCAGCAATGTTGTGACAGGCCCCGCCAACTATGCAATGCAAATATAATCATCTGACTCGCACTGTTTCCAGACCTTGACAAGCCTTATGGATCTATGGGTGAAGTTTCCTCAATTCCGCTCCCCCATACATTGTGACTTCCCAGTGGTTATCGTGGGGGCCACTGTTCGGTGTCTGTGACAGTCACTCAGGATGGAAGCTGAAGTAAGAGAGGAGGTTAAGACCTAGAATGATGGAGAGAGAAGGATCCAGGCACGTGTGTTCATTTTGCTTTTATTAAAATAGTTAATATTGATTTAGCTGCAAGCAATGTTGCCTGAATTTTGCTTACAGCAGCAGAGTGAAGGTGGGACACAGACAACACAGCGCCCACTCCATTATTGAAGAGGTTTAATTTTGCTGAGTTTGTTCATGTTTGCGTTCATAACAATATATTAGTTTGAAAGACTATAATGTAATTTTATACGCTAGAAAATACCG